CTCGCGATCTGGACATGCTAGGATCATGGATTTTGTGCTCGAAAGAATATAACATGGATTTGAGTCCTCTAGCAGTTTTGGTACTGGTACAGGGCGATTTGTTTAAAAACATCTTCAAGGGAGGATAACTAAAGAACTGATTGACGTATCGTTGTCATTTTGATTCCTTCGGTAGCTTATGTGATGCTTCACAAAATTAGATATCAATTATGCAGGAGCTATGCTCAGGTAACATTGGAAGATATTGATTATGTAAATGAGGGCTTAATTTGAATAACTAAATTAGTTTGCATAATTAATAGAAATGCAGTAATTCTAGAGTGGTAACTGCTTGGAATTTAATTCTTGCCGTATTTGAAAGTTCAGCGTAAGTGAACATCGCTTAACATAGTTAAAATCAAGACCTCATTTGCATAATTTATTAAAGTAATTCTACGATAACCTTATTTCTTAAGATAAGACTGTCATTTGGTTGAGAATATGATCAACTTAGATAGTTTATGTAAATTAGGCTTGTTATTTATTTGCATAATCAATGATGTATGATTAGTCAGTTCCAACGGTTACCCTGATTTGGTTAAGGTATGATGTCGCGGAACGTACATTATACATATATATACAGGATGCCAAGGCCAAGAGAACGGGTCTGATGAGTGCGGCACCTTTTCTGCCGTGAAAAACGAAGGCGAATGGTACCGGAAGGACAAGATGTTTGCTAAAGACAACAGGGAAGCTTGCTTCGTTCTACACTTGTCGCGGGTCCCCCTGTTCCACATCGCCACTACTGTTGGACCCTGCGTCATCCTGGTCGCGATGATGATCATCACCTTCGTCATGCCCTTAGACAGGGGCGACCGGATCTCGTTCGGAGTGACCATTCTACTCTCCATGGTCGTGTCCCTCGTGTTCGTGACGGACGTTCTTCCTGTCAAGGGGGTATTGCCATTTTTTGGTGAGTAAAATTCAATGCTACATTACCGTATTGCTTTAAAAATCATTTGTTAAATGTGACTGTAACAAAAAGCTCCATTACAGAAACTGTTTACCATCTCTATAATGTTACAGCTACGGCAATCATCATCTGCATGGGCCTGATGGGATTATTCTTGTTCTTCACCCTGGTCATCATCGTCATTCATGACCGGGAGGGCAGCCTGTCTCCGGCGGCGAAGATAATTTTCCTGCGCTACATGTCAAAGTACCTACTATTCGTTTTTTTAAAAATGTTTTCAAGGCATCCAATATAATCCAATTAGGGTGGTAAAACAAAAATTAAGTTAATTTGTCTGATATTGACATTAAATGTCATTTCTTTGCATATTTTCGGCATTATTTATACTTAGAGGATTTGGAAGAACTAGATCCTGGCAACGATACGAAGCAAGCAATATTTTTCCTTCTCTGAGGTCTGACCTAATTTTATGAATGACGAAGACCCTCCGAAGACCCCCAAAGTAGTGCCTACGGACGAATAAAAAAATTCAGGCCCCCAAACATGCTGCTAAACCACAGGAATACAAAGCTGTTATTGTGAATTTGCGGTACTTTTACGACAAGCCGGCACATGCTGGCCTTTTGCGGAATTTATTAGTCGCTAATGTACTGTGTTGTTGTTTGTGAAGCGTCAGCAGCCTGGGTGCCGTTCTCCGTACTTACCACAGACTCCCTACTGTCACAAACTACCACGGACTCATGTACAGACGGTGGCACCCAGGCCATGATGTGATCTTTATTTTTAAAACAGGCGAAAGTCAATGGGCGCGCGGATGTCATCCCTAAAATTAGATTAGTGTGGCTTGACAAATATATTATATATGCTATGGAAAAGGGTTATTTCAACTTACTGCATTAAAAGAATGACCTGACCTTGGAAATTACAGTTTTACCGCACCGAATTCAAAATGGCAATGGATGTCGTCAATGATATCTGTGTATAAAGTGACAATATCTAAAAATTTACCTCACTTGCAACTTTGTAATGAGTTTCTAGATAGTTTAATGTTCTTTTCTTAGGCCACAGCAAGTAATTTTTATGGATGACATCAGCGCGCGCATTAATTTTCGCCTGATTTTGGAAAATAAAAAGAAATTTTGTTGCGTTCTGACAGTGGTCAACATGCCTAAAATGGGCAAAAATGTCTGTTGCCATGCCGGAAGGTGGATGGCAGATAACTATAAAGAGAGGAGACAAGAAAAGGCTCTGATTTAATGTTGTGTTTCTTACCTTAAAGCAGTGATGTGATGCTGGCTGTGTAAATGTGATGTTCCTACTGAACTAAAACCATTTGTACAATGATTTCAAATTCAAAAGACCCTTGTTTTTTTCGGCCCGCCTTGTTTTTTTTTTTTCGTCGCGCTCGCATTAGATTTGGAATCTGCGGAGGATGTCATCCATAAAATTTACTTGCTGTGGCCTTATTAATTTCTCTGATAAACATTTTTTTACAGCATCATGATTCATTTTTCCTCCATGTTGGCATTTTGATACATTTATCTAACTCTTCATATGATTATTTTCTTGAATACCAGGAAATTTTACCTGAAACTTACCAGGACTTCAATCAGATGACCTGTATCTTGTCTGTCTGAACCAAACATCTTTCATCATGTTATGTCGTTAATTTGAATATGTTATAACCAAACAAATATCAACTCCTGCACATAAAGATCTAGTAATAAAGGAATTATTATGAATAGCAGTGAGATGTACGTTTTTGTTCTTAAGGATGCTGCTGTTTGGTGATCTGACAGCAAATCAGGAAGCAAACGATGAAGAGCCTGGCGTGATCAACCACGCCGCCATAGAGCTGACCAACTGCGCCTATGAAGACGATAACGTGTCGGAGGCCGTCGACGAAACAGTTATGTATTTCGGTGATGGCAACGGGAGGGACGAGCAGCCATCGACCCCTACTGAGGATGGTTCCGGATCATCTGGACTTTCAGAGCTGATCACGGTGGTCAGGGAAGTTGGAGTTCTGACCAATGCCGTGGTCAGGGAAGTTGGAGAGCTGACCAAGGCCGTGAAAACGAAGAGAAAGTGTCTGACTACACGCTGCTGGCTAAGGTCCTGGACAGGCTGTGTCTTGTCATGTACATCATCAGTATCGCGGTAACTGTCCCTATGACCATGTATTTGGGCAGGTAAAGGTGTGGCATCAGCCTCGATCCATAGACCGTTTGTGACGTTATCTATCAATTTATGATAATTGTCTAAAAAGGTTTATCCGACTTGTTGAACACGCATATATAATATATAATATGCATTTGGAGCATTTTACACACAGTTATAAAACCTTATTTGAAAACTTTTAATTTAGCACTTGCTTTAATGGGAATTGACACAATTTGTATATAGTTCGACTACACCTAGGGAGAAGATCCTTAGATACCCAAAATGTAATTCCGTGGACAATATTAATATAATTCCAAGGTTATTAAATTAGATTAGGAGATAGCATTTCATCTATTAGAATAACTCCTACTCTTTTATATAGAGTAGGAGTTAGCAAACTAAGTTTTCTTATGTCACTACAGGAGATAGTATTTTATCCAGGTAGTATTGTATATAGCTCTTTGTCTGTCAATGGTTAAGTTGAGGATTAGGTATTGTTATCTGCATAATCAAGAACGTATGCGCAAAACATCTTAGAGCCTAATTCTTTATAACTTAAAATATTTGCTAAGCGTAAATTTCATCCATAAAATCAAGTCACTGTCGGCTTTCGTGATGATAGGAGGTGGATGATTGTAAACAAATCGTTGTGATGTTAACTTGTTATACTGAATTATGTGTATATTATACGTGTGTGAAAACATCAATTTGGTAGATTAATAAAGTTATATAAGTAACAGCATAAAGTAGAAAATCTTAAAAGTTTCCATGAAACCAAAACGTTCCTTTTACTGTCAGTTTCAGTAGAGCTTCTGGCATGTTGTTTACCATATTTTAGATTAATACATGCTTGAAACATTATTTTATTTTATTCACATTTATTTTTCGAGGATTGGGCAAAAAGTTATAAAACTTATCTTAGCGTCTCCTCACACATAAAAGGAAACAATAAAACGAAGTAATGATAATAAGAAGAAGAAATGACAAAGGTACATAATGAGCTGGTGTACAAATCAAAGTCAATCAACTAAATCAAACAAAACGTCCTGTCTGCAAAATAAAGTTGAAAACCACATCAAATATTTTACAGTTGTTGACAAACGACAATGAGGGGTTACCCCTGAGAATGGTTGAACATAAGGCGTTGTCGGTGACGTTGTTTGTGTCAAATGGCAGGATGTTAGTTAGAGATGATAACATGTCAATGCGTTCGTCAGTGTTGAAACATTGATCTGTATTCGTTATGGACAACATGCAAAACTTCAAAGCAAGCTTTATCATGACAATATACATTGTAGTATTCTTTGCTGACTCGTAATATTCAAATTGATTGTGTTTAAAGATGACTCAGACATGAAATTTTGAACGCATTATTTGTGTTCAAATTGCCATTTGGTGCAAGCAAAATTCAGTGCAAAATTCAAGTTTTGCCTTATGAGTAATTCGTCAATTCTATTATATCATAGAGAGGTTATGAAGCATCCAACAAACGTATGGGCATTTCTTATACATATTTGCAGATACTTCTGATCTATATCTGTGTACAGCCAGTATTTGTTTATGTTTGTACCTTGTTTGTCAATGTCTTTTGTTTGTTTAGCTCACCTTATTGTTTGTTTTTAAACCTGTGTACGTAATTCAGCGGTTTTGTACGCTGCCATGTACAAGGAGTGTTGCCAATAAACTATTATTATTATATACAGACTTCGGCTGTTAATTAATTGTTCTATTCATGTAACACTTCGTATGATATCAAATCTATATGCACCATGTTAAGGTTAAGAATTTCTGATATGTATGCACAAACTATTTCCCCACAAGTTAAATGTTGATTCTGGTAAGCTAAGGTTCTACAAAAAAAAAATGTAAAACAGCATATTCTATGGAAAAATACATGGATTTAATCGATTTTAACATTCGCTCTGCAATAAGTAGATTAAGAATTAGTGCACACCCTCTCAAAATTGAGAGAGGGCGATATTAGAAGCTCCAAGACTTAGTGTATGAACGAATTTGCAAACATTGTACGTTGAATACGGTGGAAGACGAAACGCATTTTATCTCAAATTGTACCCTCTATAGCAATGAACGAAATGAACTCTTTGACGTAGCCTCCAAATTCTACACAAACTTCCACTCATATATAATATATCATATACAAATGAAAAGAAAACTACTCTCCTCTTAGCATCAGAAAACCCACAAATTACAGAAAAAGTGGGATCCTTTGTCTTCCTCTGTCTTCAAAAAAGAAGTCAAACCCAGTAGTTTTTTTAAATAGTAGTTTCTTAATAGTTATCAGTAGTTCTATGTGTACTAATTATCTGTTTTTATACCAAATGTTTCTTCTGTTCATGCAATTAGCCCTCGGGCATGAATTTGCAATAAAACTTTCGAATTAATTGCACAGGATTTAAATCTAAACTCAGACAGGCTACTTTACCATTATACCAATAATAGTGCAGGTCGTTTTCCATCCAACCAAACTTGGCGTAGTGGACTTTATAATACCGTGTATAATAGGTAAACTGAACTTTATTTTCACATCCGTAACATGAAAATCTTTTCTCTGACACTTAGCTGCTGAAGTGATCAGCTAAAGTAACTTGTGGCTGCTTGAATGTTAAACAGGCTTGGGTTTTTGACGTTCTGCTCACAATCTGCTAGACTGCATAGAATGACAAGATGGCTTTCTGTAATTTCAGATTACTAGTAGCTAATTTCAGCAATTAATGTTTTCTATTTTGTTGACCTTTTTCTCGTTTTGTATTTTCTATTACATTAAACATTTATCTCTTTAAGATGTAATGATCATACTCTGCTATGTTATAAGTTTGCTACTTCACTTCTGAATTCTACAAGTTTTTCGACATGGCTGTCCCTCAACCGTGTAAGCCTGCATGACAGGAACCTTAGATCAAAACATAATGTAACACAGTTCAAATGTAGAACTGAGAGGTATCGCAAGACTACACTGCCTTTCCTGGCTGATCTACTTAATGAAACATGACACGTACAGGCGTTGCTCATCTACCATGATTACCTGCTAGATTGTTGTATTCATATGTTTTAACAAATTAACTGAATAGTTTTAATATGTGTTTATGTGCAGGCCTAACGTAAGGCATTTTAACTTGCATTGATTACAATCTTCGGATCACGAAGCCAAGCCAAGAGAAGAGAGAGATTGGGTATTAATGGTATAGACTACGTGTAAAAATTCTCTTGTTGTAATGCCATACTGTAATTCAGCTAAAGGGCTGCCACTGTATGGTTGATTTGAGTCGCCAATAAACCATTGATTTGAAAAGGACTGTTTTCAACTGTTCAGGGCAATATACGAGCATTTTGCAGTACTTTGTAGTTGATTCTGATTTTTTTTGCAAATCAGAAAAAATGGCCTTTGTTGGTACCGAACCAGAGCAGGCGTTTCATGGACAGCAGATTTATAGAATATTCCCATTAATTGATACACATAAAAAACTGTATTTAATGTGTCAAGAAGGACAAAGAGAGGGCGGCCTTGCCAGTGTAAACCCGCTGGAGCCTCCGACGGTGCGGTGTGAAGACCAGAACTACTAGCTGACTCCTGATGACGACCCCTGTAAAAGAGACATCAGCAAAAGAATAATCAGTGGTGGATTACACAGCATACATTTATGCAACATAACCTTTTCGACGAACGAACTTCAAGGTAATGAGTCGTGGCTATCGGATGTCCAGAACAAGAAATATTAACCTAAAATGCTTTTATTTGTGCAAAAAAATTAAATAAAATAAAACTATGCGGTCATTTCACCATCATTGCGATACAAACAAACAAACAAACACACACACACAGACACACACACACACACATACATCACACACACACACACACACACACACACACACACACACATACATTACACACACACACACACACGAACTCACAGACACACACGCACACATATACATACATTACACACACACACACACATACATTACACACACACACACACATATACACGCACACACACATATACATACATTACACACACACACACACACACACACACACACACACACACACACACACACATACATCACACATGTACACACACACACACGAACACACAAACACGCACGCACACATACACTTGCATGTATATGGCCGGCCTCCATCGGTCAATATTGACCACTATTGAGGCATTGAGGAACAAAAACACTCAACGTAGTCATTGTTAGGTAATAAACATTTTGTGGTATGCCAGGTGAAAGTGGAATTTGGACTGCTCTCAAAGCAAGGTATTCGTAAATATTTGCCTGCATCATATGATCCGCCGCGGCCCATTTCTTAATACACCCCCAAAACGGCGTACGTGACCAAGTGAATAAAGACCTTTGATATTGTTCAATTTTTGTTGTAATATCAAAAGCAAAACCACTGAAATTACTCTGAAATACTTTTTGAGCACGTAAAATAATAAACTTTTTTTGAAAGTATGACTTCCTAAAGAAAGTCATAAAGGGACTATTTGGTCAGGGCTCATGTATACAGGGCACAAAAAGGCACACAGGTCAACTCTGAATTCGAACTTCCCATTTGACGAAGAAGAACTACAACAGACAGGTAGGTACTAAGCTGTTTTTCTCCCGACCTGTAAAGGGCATTAAGTCAGCTTTAACGGTCGCCATCAACGCAACATAGGCAAGCTGCAAATTTACTGTAACACTTTTGCTTGTCAATTAGCACGTCTACATGGAGTGAAAAATCACCCCCGGTTCTCGACCTTATACAATCAAACGTCAGCATTATTGCCATCTGATCATCATTGCAGCTTTAATAACTCTGTGACCAACATAACAACTTGTAAATGCACCCAGAGGATCCATTTACATTGTACCCCTCTACCCTCCTTTCTTTAATAAGAGTGGTTTATTGCAAGTTCATGCCCGAGGGCTAACTGCAAACAGATATTGACAAGAAAAATGTGGTGATATAAGACTACTAGTATTTGCTAACATGAAGTTCTACGTGTACGATATACTTATCAAACCTACTATCTCTACTTAAATCTAATAATGTTGGTATGCATACAGCTACAGGATAAACAGTTTTATGCAATATATGAACAGGTAAGAGGAACAAGGTAACTGCTATTCTAATCTATTCTATTCAACTACTTAGTATTCTTGTCATGCTATTAGGGAGTTTGACTGCTTCTCAGGAGGCAGTAGGAGATGAAATGTCCGACTCTTTGAAAAATAAATGGGTTGGGAGACTTTAGCAGTAATATGTAAAGTCCCATTTGTAAGTCGCAGCGGTGGGCACAAAGAACAAAATTAATACAACCCAATTAGACTGTTAAACATCACTATAGGAATTACTTGTTCCCTTTCTGATATATAAAAGGTCTTCAGTGGTACGTCTTTAACTTTCAGATAAAGCTACACTCTAGCGAAAAAGGACAACGGATTACAAGTAAACTTCCGTGTGGCTCAATACGCGGACTGATACAAACTAGACTTACGTAAGTCGTTCGGTTTTTGGTACTTTCCAAAGGGGACAAAGGTTGACAAAGGCAACTTTCAGCTACGCAGGTGGGTAATTAATTAGACTATCGTTCTCCGGACTTTTCATAGCTGTTGTCTCTTACATATAAGGATCATTTGGTTCTGAATAGTATTATCAGGTTTCTGACTTTATGAAAATAGTTATTTATCACGTTAGACTTCACAAAATTAATCGTTATATGACAAAATTAATCGTTATATGACAAACCAAGAAAAGTTAACAAATTGATGGGGAGGGGGGTGATTCGAAGTACGTAGTAGCTTATACTTCCCAGCTGGGCAGAAAATTATAACGTATGAGGAATGTGATCTAAATCTTGAGGTCAACACGCACAGCTATATGACGGGTGTATTTACTGTTGCCATGCTGTATGGCATTTTATTACCTTCGCCGATGTAATGTCTTTATAATGTCTTTGGTGCCGTTTGTTTGTGGGTGGGTGCACTTGTGGGCAGTATAAGATTAAAGCCGTATATGGAATAGTATGAAATTTGGAATTATATATTGGATGTTTAGAAAAAATAGACGCTCCAGCCTTTTAGCTTCAGCAAATATTCAATATGCTACTCACTCAGACTTACATTGGAGATACCAAGCGCTTCTAGCTCTGCTTGACTGTTTCTAACAGTCAATTAGATATAGAAGTCCAAATACTACTTGTGTTAATGGGCTTAAATTCTCCTCCTAGCTCTGATTGGCGGATGTGTTTCCGCCAATGAGATATAGGAGGCTACCACGTAATCGTGATTTTCAAATAACTTTGTTAGCATTAACATTGTTAATGTCTTGGGGTGGCGGGACTACGGCGCACTGACATGTCAACTTTGTGTATTTAAATGTTAATTGTACTTTTTTGTTGTGTGGCGCTATTAATATAAGTTGTAAACTTGAGTGCAGTGCCACACTGTCCTTGTTATGTTTTCATGTTTTGATGAATAAAAAAATATGCTTTTTCCAATCTAGATGGAGTAAATTTTTATGCTAAACTGAGATTGATAACATGCTAAAAACATAAATTGATCAACTATCCCTCCTACCTTCCCAGCAGAGCTGTCAAACAATCCCCTATACTTCCTGAAGCCTTGCTCGAACATACCAACCGTAGTCTGACATGATGAGTGGGGAGTATGTCTGTGAGCATGCACTGGTGACATTACAAGTAGAAACCTTTGAATATATCCAGGAAAATGAATTACTGCGGGCTAGGCTTCAAGGCTCAGAGGAACACTGTGCAACTGATGTGTTCATTATTCAACATAAAGAGGAGCCTGCCGTGTCTACTATCTTGCAGAAATTGAAGGATGATGCTACAGCTGATGACATCACCACAGTTTTGCAGCAAGTGGTTCCTCCTCATTCAAAATACATGAAAATTGTGTCAAACTCAAATGTGCAACACAGCATTCTTAACACAGTAGTCAGACAGCTCATAACAGTGACTGGTGTAAAAAAACTAGAGATTGATGAGGTCATACTTGAATCTTTGCCAGAAGAGGTGTCACAGCTTGATGACTTCATTTTAAATCTATCCACCGGCATTGATATCAAACAAAGCCTCAAGCACATTGATAATATGATGACTATAGTTGTGGATGGCCTTATATATGGAGGAAAGGGAAATTCCTATTGATTTTTGTTTTGATATTCTGGTATTATATTTCCTTCTGTTAGATGTAAGCCACATGCCTATACAGTCCATAATTGAATATCTGAAAGATCTTCAAAAATATTTATGTGACATTTTAGGGACTAGCTATAGGCACTCTGTGGAACTTTCAGCTCATTTAGGTGATGTTTCACTGAAATATATTCATTCACTTGTGGAGAAGAATGAATGTCTCCCTGATCCAATCATGTCAGATTTCCTAGAACGTGTTCTACATTCCCTTTCAAAGAAATTTCGGAGGAGACATGATCTACTACTTCTAGAAGAGAATTTACATCCCCTTTCAAAGAAATTTCGGAGGAGACATGATCTACTATTTCTAGAAGAGAAATTTCCGAGAAATTTGAGAGAGTTGGTATGTATAAGAAACAGATTTAAAACATTGAAAAACTTAGTAATACATGTACCAGAGAGAGCTAGAAACCATTTAACTGAACTGCACATTAATGGAATAAACTATTTCCCTCAAATCATCTTTCAATGCAGCACATTAAAGGCTATCTTCTTAAATGACAATTATATTGACATGTTACCAGACAATATAAGTAACTTGGTTTCCATGAGACAATTATCATTGTCTCATAACCATGTGAAGACACTACCAAAAAGCATAGGGGGCTGTTTAATGTTAACAATATTGCAGATGGACCACAACAGACTGAAAAGAATTCCAGAATCTATTGGGAACTTGAGTTGCCTGGAAAAATTTGATGCATCTTCAAACATGTTGGATGTCTTGCCATCCACCTTCTGTAGATGTAATAAGCTTACCTACATAAACATAGCAAACAATACGATATATAACATCCCTGCAAGTATTGGGAATCTGGTAATGTTGGAGCACTTTGACGCTTCATCAAACAAGTTGGAAGTCTTGCCATCCACCTTCTGTAGCTGTAAGAAACTGACCTACATAAACATGGCAAACAATGTGTTACAGGCTCTCCCTCTAAACATTGGGAATCTGGAACATGTGCAACACTTTGACTTGCAAGCAAACAAAGTATCATGTCTGCCTCTAACTTTTGATAGGATGAGAACTCTGAGGAAGTCAACCTCAAAACTTGTCCTAATAGAAAATCCCTTAACACTGGTCGCATCAATTTTGGAAAGTCACAAGGCATTTGGAAACTCAAGTAAAAATTGATTTTCAACATTCAAGTTTCACATCAGTGTGTAGCTCTTGGTGTAATGAGCACAGTGATATGAAAATTATTGTTCTGCAGTGTTCATAACTTAAGATATCATTAATAATAAATACAAGCAGACCGGTGGTCTTTCCTAACAGCCCGTCAGGCCTAACAACTAGCCCGCAAGTTTTAATTACAGGACCTTGTCTAAGGCACTAGACTACATGTGTAGAATCCCGGCCCGCGGGCTGATTTACTCAAAAACCATTCAGACCGTCAGCCTAACTTCAGCCCGCGGTCTGGAATTTCTGGTCAAAGAGGTGCAAAAAGCCCAAAACAATGGCATGGAAGGCGTGAATTGATTGATGTTTGCAGACTGTCTGTGCCAATTTCAGCCTGGTGGGGTAAGGATTCAGACCTCACGGACTACATTTCAGCCCGCGGTCTGATCCAAGTGATGTGTAAAACTTCATTCTCAGAGCAGAAAATAAGGAAGGAGAGCATAATCCACACCCATCTGTTAACAGTGTTGTACATTTTTGCCGCTTTCAACCTCACTCACTCACTCAATCACTCAGCTTCGCATGCTCTTTCAACTACATGTAGACCACAAAAAAGAAAGAAGAGCTTACAAACACGTTCTGTACCAGCTAGGGGTAGAAAATGAAACAATTTTTTCTCATGAGCATCCTGAATGTCATTGAAGTTCAGTTCAGTTCAGTTGAAACATTGGGAAAATTATGTTACAGACAGTTTTGCCGGACAAAATTCTAGTACTATATAATATGAGCAAGAAGCCTAATACATGCATTGCAACTTAAACCTGCTTTCAAGCAATGGAGTTATAAAATCCTCAGTCCATTTCTGTTCAACCATGGTTCAACAGTTTTCAGGTAATTATTCTGATCAAGGAACAATTGTTATGCGGGATGAAACTAAGTCTAGCTATTGTGAAATTTCTGCAGGAAAAACCTACTAAGACATTGTAGATTCCTGCAGATAGAATCCTTCCTAGAAATTTCGGCAGGAATAACTGTATAATAAATATATACAACTGTTAGGCCACACCAATATACATGTAATGTAGTCTCCACCAGACTCCTTTGCAGGCTAAATAAATAAGTAGCAATCGGCTAAGGGGAACATCATTGGCCAGAGGAGTTGGCCGGCCATAGAGACTAAATATAATGTCATTACTTGTTTCTCAGACTCATTCACTTGAAGAAGAATCCTGTTCTACAAAATTACAACATTACCTCAATATTCTCTCAAGGTCACCTTAGTAATTGATCAATGATCATCTGATTTTTTGTATGTCATGACAATTCATGCAGTCTGATAACTCAATGAATGCTTTTGCTTCCAAAAGCATCCCCTTTCTCCAGTTGTAAACACGTCTAACATTGATCAGATTCTGACTGGAGACTAACTTCAAGTTGTTGCTTGGAAGTTAGAACTTGTTAATTTTATCATAATCATCTCCCCTCCCCTTTTGTCACCCATTTTTAAAGAAACTGTGTTCTTGTGTCTAGGGGATAACAAGCGTTCACAATGTAATTCATAGGCTTATTGACGGATGTCTATTATCACTCTATGGTGACATTTCCTTGGGCAAATGTTGGCCCTCCAGGAGCCAAGGAGCTAGCCTGGCAGCAGTCTGGTACCCATGTAACAGTGGGGGGGTTATAGGCGCTACAGCTCGCCCCTGTTTCTTACACCCAGGCTACCTGGTCTGCTATCATACATGTACATCCTGCGCTGTACAAGCATTTTACGTTCTGTTCCTAAATTTTTGGGAAATATCCAAACTGAATGAACAGCTCTTTTCATTATATATATAACCTATTTGAGATGTTTCACAAATATTGTAACAATTAGAAAATTTTCTACTTTTTTTAAGTCATACTTTGAAATTATCTAGAAACATTGTGTTTTTTTTCGAAATGGTTACAATTTGTAATGTGGAATATAGCAATATAGAATTGACTCTAGGCCTTGGGCAAGCACTTCCAATTAAATTGTAATTTAGACTTATTACAAATCCTGTAAAGATTCTCATCATTAATTTTTTGTTCATAATCTAAATCTAATCTAATCATGACACTACAAACTAGTTGTGGGATAGAAAGATTTGGCCAAGACATGGTTCTCAGCGTGTGAACCTAGGCCATCTGACACTGTCATTACAATGTCATGAGATTTTCTGATAGGATATTTTTTCGGGCTATTGAGCCAGTGCCAGTGCACCCATGTCAGGGTAGCCCGACCAGACTCTCTAATTTGATAATTGGACAGTGGTCATTTGCATGCCTGGAACAATAGGTGACCTGAGGTATGACCCGCATGACAAAGGTGCAGGAACAGAATAATTACAAAAGAAAATGTAACATGAATTTCCTAAAGCATTGTACAACTCCTTGCACTGAAAGCAAGTTCATGTTGCAAATTGAGGATCGATTCCTTGCTTTTTATGTTTTCAGTGTACATCGGCTGAGGCTTATACATGGCAGGATTATGGCACTAAAACTCCAAATGTTTTCCTTTTGATTTAAATGTTTCCATGGAGTTATTGTTTATTTAACCATGTCCATTCATCTTGTTTTGTTGTGACCTGTACTTAGCCAAGTTTTCATTCTCTAAAAAAAAAGATAAATTTCTACCCCCATGATGTTTCAAAGGGATTTGGCCAGGGGAGTTGCCCATCCATAGTAGGACAGATTGGACTATACCTGCCAAACAGAAACTGTAAGTGACCATGAAGTGTCCTCAAAAGTTGGCTTCCAACACCACAACCAATCAGGTCTAATATGAAGTGTTCTTGCTGAGACAAGGGTCTTTTATGATGCTATCTGGTCTTTTTTAGTCATAACCGTTACACAAATGTTACACCCCGCCCAGGTATCAGCCCAGGTAGCACAGCAGGAGCAAAATCCACCTCCTCAAACATGTTCAAAAAGCTTTCTACTAGAAAGAGACTTTTTGCAGTCTTAATAGCAGAACAATTCTTCCCATGTACAGGAAAAATTCTTCCAGTAGAAATTTCTGAAGCTTTTGCAGAAAATGTTCAAAATGAATATTCATGAAAGTTATCATCATTCATACCTGTACATCATACTTGTCAATAATATGTAATCACTTATTGAAAATATTAGCTGAAAATGTGAAGGGTGTTTATTAATATGGAGTGATATGAAGTGAAGTGTAAACCATCATCAATCTGGAAGCATCAATTTGGAAGCATATTTTTGTTTCCCACTTTCTGTTTGGTGTTTAAAGTCTGAAGGTTCTCTATCATAAGGCCTAATCATCAGCCCAGCCTGTCCACAGACCGACAGGCCTGTTCAGGCCCGCGGGCTAACCATTGAGCCCAGACCTCTCATGAATTTATCACAAACTTGTTAATTACACAGGTGTGAAAATGTGAATTCTCATTAATTCAGTGGTTTTCATGGGGTGTTCATGAGGCTAATTGGATGCGGTCTGGATGCGGGCTGGCTAACTCAGGCCGCGGGCTAAAGTTTAGGACTGCCAGGCTAAGCTGCTGGGCATGACGGTGTGTGTTCTAGACCGCCAGGCTTGCAATTTTTAAAGTCAAATATCTTGATAAATTTGTACATTCTGACCATAAAAAAAGCAACCTGGTACTGAAGATAGCATGATCTTTCCAATGGCATGCAAAAGTTCACTGTACATCCAGGAATAACAAAGTTGAAAATCAGGGGTTTCAACATAGGTGTCTCAAAATTCGGAAAGTGACATTCCAAAATTGAGGTGGCCAGTGTTCCTTAATACATCCACCCTTAGAAGTGTGTTTACAACTTGGAATGTATGGAATTCATACATATCTGAAAGAGCTAAGACGGTCTGACGCACACAAGATGAACTACCAGAAGCTAGTTTTGGTGGGGGAAACCATGGCAGGAAAAACAAGCTTAGCACAAACGTTGATGAATAGCAGTTCACAACTCACGACAGATCAGCAGCGTACTGTTGTTTTGGAGCAGCACACATGGCCAGCAGAAGGAGGGCTGGAAATACAGATCAATGACTTTGGTGGTCATGAGATGTACCACCTCACAAGTCCTTGCTTCTTTACTCCTAATGTTCCCTACCTGCTTATCTTTGACATCAAGAAGTACACACGTCAAACCCATCATAAAGACATAGGGTGTTGGATAGACATTGTCCGAATGAAGGTCCCAAGAGCCACTATACGTATGGTGGGAACTCACCAAGATGAATGTTCCTCTGAAGAAATTGGGGAGAAGCTGCAGTATATTGCACAGACAGTACAGAATGATGAGGCAAAATGGAAAGCAGACATCACATCCCAGCTTGACATGATTGAGAGCAATGAATGTTTAGGGGATCTTGCAAGACAACACCGACAAGAATGTCTTCAAACCCACCTGAACAATCTTCCCAATCTGCATGAGCCTGACAGTCCTGTAGAAATAAGAACAGTTAGCTCATCTGATCTCGGTGGCATAGATAGTTTAAGTTCAGACATTCGTGAGCTATGCAAGCAAGTCGGGTCAAACAGGCAAGACACTATTCCAAAAATTTGGTTTGACCTATATGAGATGCTACAGGGCACAGAGTATGACAACCAGCATTTTGTGCACTTGGATGACCTGCAACCCTACTTAAAAGAATTGGATGAACTAGAGGCTTTGAAACTACATGAAGCTCCTACACAAAAACTTGAATCAGAATCTGATGATGAGTTCTACATGTATGAAGAAGAATCTGATACTGAATCAGATGATGACGGAGATGATACTACTGGTGAGGAACTGAATGTTGCACTAAAAACACAATGCTGTATGAAAGTGCCTTCATGCCATTATCAGGAAACAAATGCTGCTAAGAAAGATGTATGTAGCAAGAATGAAGGGAACAAAAATGATGCAAATGCCCATCAGCCTCTTGTATTCCCCTCTGATAAGTCTGAAACAGTAAAATACAGAGAAGAATCAATGTGCCTTGCTCCTGTCAGTAAAAGATTGATTGCTGCCCTTCACTACCTCAATGCAGTTGGATTGATCACATGGTATCCTGACGATGAAAAGCTTAAGAATCTCATTTTTCATCGTCCCGCCAAACTGGTGGAAATCTTCAAAGCAATCATCAACCACGACATAAAAAAACAACTGGACTTTAAAGATGTCGTGTTTTCCACAGTTGGGCAGTTCTCCAAACAGGGATTTGCCAGAGCTGTGCAGGAGTTTGAAAGCACAGCGAATCTTTCTGTAGCAATAGTCAGGTGCCTGTGGCACAAGCTTGGATTCAGCAAGGAGGACATAGAAAGCCTCATCAAGCTCATGATCAAGTTTGACATTTGTTATGAGGTCCTAGAATCCAAAGTAGCACCAGGTTTGCAATCTTCACATTCGCTCCACATCCCATGGTATCTGTCTGCTGACCCTCCCCAAGACCTGTCCAGAATGTGGCCCCAACCTCCTCCTGATGACTACCAACAGCTGACAATGCAGTACCACTTCCCAACATTCTGCCCAAGAGGCCTGTTTGAGAGAGCATCTGTCAGATTACACCGTCACATCGCACATCGTGTCAACTGGAAAAATGGCGTGTGGGCAGAGGTAGACAACAGACAAATCTTGTTGACCAGAGCAACAATAGATGACGAAAGTGGAAGAGAAGTGGTTTTCAACCTGTCTGTACGCGCACAAGTCACTGCACAGGAACCTAGACACACTGATGACATCTCACAACTCTGGAAAACATTCCTCTCCATTCATCGAGACATGCAGAGTCTCATCCAGGACTGGCCAGGACTGAGGTGTGACCTGTTCCTCCAGTGTGCACACTGTGCAAAGATGGGGAAAGACAAACCAGGTCTCTTCCCAGGTGAGGTTCTGGAGCAACAATGTCAACAGGATGTTAGGTAAGTACATGCCCATGCAGTACCACATGTACATCAATGGTATTTCTTAAAGTGAATTCAAGAATCTTTAATCATTGTGTCTCAAAACACAATATGTTTCTGCACTTTTTTCCAGGACTGTTCCATGCCCTCAGTATCCAGTGATATTTCCTGTCCCAAAAGTGAGCACAGATCTTGTCTACCCACCAAAGTCATGTATGGGTAAGTAAATTTTACTCACAGTTTTGACAACTTGAATTACAAATGGGGAAAAAGTCTAGGTTTATATCATAATTTCAATTATAATTACAATTGTCAAATAAAAAATAACTACAAGTACAATGGATTTTATAGGAAAAGGTGTACTGCAATCGTAACTTACATTATTGTACACTTAGTCTAGCACAATGTAACCAGATAAGTTAACAATACACAATGTCATGTAGTAGCTATGGAACTGGTGCCATCCCTTGATCCAAATGACAGATATTGTTACATGCGCTTGCAGAAAAAGAACAATACTTCGTGACATATTCTGCAGGCGTATCAAGTGAGACATCTGTCGATCATGCTTCCAGTCCTGTGTCAGAAATGGACAGGTAAGTCACAAACTTCTGATACATCACACTTTAGTCACCTGTGGGATTTGTCTCAGATCAGTGTTAAAATACATGTTCATGGCTGCACACGTCTACCTTTTAAATTTACCTCTGCTTCAAATACGTAACAAATGTTTTTACAAAATGCATATTTTTAGCATTTTCAAGTTAAACATTACAGTTAATGAACAAAATTTGTCCCATGACAAATGTGTCTGTCATTTATGTGAAGTAGATGTAAGTCAAACTAGAGAGGCCGACATTTGCTTGGGAGCAAATACAGCATATTTCAGTCCATCTCCCTCCCACGCAAAAGTGGACTATTCCAAACTTACGCCAGTGTAAAACTGGCAAAGATTCTCAATTAAATGAATTATATAGTAGCGATGTAATTGAGAACAAAGATGCAACAACAAGCACATTGAATCTCGAAAGCTTTACTAATCTTCTTACAGGTATGCAAATACTAACAATGATGAGATTTGATACATTTTGAAGGTCTTAGGCACATAAAATTGAATGTGTGGGTCATTACGCACGACTTACGTGCAATGTGACCTCAGGTAACCCGCAATGGAACACCTGTTCCATGGCCAACGGCAGATAGAACGTGCCATTCTTTAGATAGAACATGGAACGGGTATAGCACTTTTGGCCCTTTTTTTGCTGAAAATAGCCATTAAAGTCCCCCAAATGAGTCATTTGGAAGTGGTGTATGCCAAATATGTGACTGTTGTTCTGTAGACACATGTTCAAAGTACCCTTATACCGAATTTCAGATCATTTGGTTGTAAAACCAGGGCTCAGGAGCCAAAAATCCATTTTTTGGCGAAAAATGCCCAAAAAAACCTTCAAAAAAATTTTTTAAAGGCATGTATCAAAAAAATGAAAAAAACACCTGGGGGTATTGGCCCACTCTACCTCCATGCCAAATTTCAAGTCATTTGGCTGAATGATGGCGGAGTTGAATCCCTCTGACTGTGTGGCAGGAGGAGGAGAAGGAGAAGGAACATCAGAGAACACAATATATTTCATCCATACCATGGTATGGACTGAAATATAAATAGAAACTGACTGCATCATGTGAGAAACCACATGCACTTCTTTTACCTACAATGTAACAGCTGGGGCACCAGTGATGTGTAAAGTACATGTACAGTAGATTTAAAAGGCCAAGGCTTGATTTGCATTTTCCAGCAGAATCTAAACTTATACATGTATGACAGCATGTGTACATAGAATATACAAATTAATTCTACATGTAGTATATATTTATACTGAGAATCTAATATGTCATATTTGACTTTTATATGTAGGTTACACCTAGGAGTTGATATCCTTCTACAAGTGACTGCTCTGGTCCAGAAGAAGTACCCAGGGATCAGCTTTGTTCCAAGCAGAGACAGGCAAGACGAGGCACAGCGAACACAGACAGTGAGAGAATTCCATGACCAGCTGTCCAGCCGAGTTCAACACTTCTCCAGTGTCATAGACTATAGCATTGACTACGAGGACTTCCCTACAATCACAGAGAGAATGAAGTCAGTGTGTTTGTTAGCATGCCCAAATGGGACAGCAACTGGTTTTCTGGTAGGACCAAAGCATGTCATGACCAATTACCACTTCCTTCAACTGTATGTTGAACCTGCTCTGAGGACAAACAATAACCCAGATAGATATGCCGCAACTTTTCACTTTTCGTCCATGCAAACATTCCGTACGCGGTTTCGCCCAACAAACTATCTTTCCTATGATACAGAACTAGACTATGCCATACTTGAACTAGAACACGTTCCACCCCATGCAGCACCCCTAGGCCAGTTTGTGTCAGAGTTATGTCACCAGGATGGAGTAGTAATTGTTGTTGGTCATCCAGGTGGTCAGAGGAAACGAGTTGACTTCTGTCCTATTGCTGTAGTTGACCACAACTTTGAGGTCCACATACGCAATGTCAGAGGAATTCCAGACAACCCAGTAGACTTTCCCCAACAGGTAGCTGGCAGGGCCAACTACCACACTTCTAGCATGTTCCATGGGTCCTCTGGTTCCCCTGGCTTCGACAAGAGTGGGAATCTTGTTGTTATGCATACCAGGGGTTTCTTCCCTTATTCCAACTCTCCAAGCATTGTAGAACAGGGTGTGCTAATGACAAGCATTAGAGAACATGTAAGGAGGACCCTTGGAAATGACACAAGGTTTAGTGAAATGTTCCCACCTCAGATGATGGACATTGGGTAAAACAATATGGCAGCACATATGGTGCATGCATGTACACTACTGTAATACTGGTGAGATGTATTATCAATAACATATTTTTTTCAAATGTAAGTACATGTATATACCTAATGTATGTGTAATGATAGAATTGTCTCTAGGTTATAGGTCTCTATGTCTGTTGCTTGTATAGTGTTGCCTTTCTATTGAAAGAACTGGTAAATTGTATGTACAATGTACATGTATAGTAGGCATCAAGTCAGATTGTAATGCAAGGTCTACCTCAGTCAAAATACAAAGGAATATTTTTGTACCTGGTTGGCATGGTCTTTGTGTCATGGCAAAAGCCACATTGCTATTGACTTTCATAATAATTTAGGACTTTTAACAATAACATAATAAGGTTTTCATTGAACGAAGTACAGACATCAATTTTTATTGAATCTGGTAACAAATACTGTGGCAGCAAATTTCTCCAACAGCAAGCACAGTTTGATTTAGTGTAAGGATGGAAGATTTTATGTTTAGATTACATTTGCTTGTATACTATTAGCAGACTGGAAAGTATAAATCACCATAGACAATACCAGAAAAAAGGCATTGACCGAGTCTTGAATTCATCGAAATTAAAAGCAGAAGCTAAACAATATTGACAACAAAAACAAATGTCAAGGCCACACTAAGTTGTTGGTTCTCGGATTCGCCTCTTAATTTTTTTCAGATTTGCAAAAAAAAGAGATTATGGTTCTGAATCAACTAAAAATGCTCATATTTTGCCCCCAATGGTTAAGGAAAGTCCTTCAAACACATAATCTTATCATCTTATCGTACATACAAATAATAATTCAAAAGTAAAGATTGAAGCATGAGTCAAGTAATCTTCATGACAGCTTTAATTGCAAAATAATAAAACGTGTTACTTGTAAAAAAAAACAGGATTTAGACTGAAATAACAATAATAATGATAACACATTCATTATTATTGTAAATAAATGGCAGAACGCTAATTGCAACTACATGTAATTACACTTGCGTGGTCCGGTTTACGGTCTTTGCAAGACTTGTCCGAACAAAGGCTACGCAGGTGGGTAAGACTATCGTTCTACGTGTTTCCAACACCAAAAAAAAAAAATTAACCCAGATACATTATGAGCTCCTCAGATACTAGTAACCTGTTCTGAAAGTATAAATTGATCAAAATTGTCAAGCCATCACAGAGTAAGGTTACGGGTCGGAGTTTATGTCTGACCAGGGTTCAAAATAGTGCGGGAAACATGTACATGACTTTGTCTGATATGTTTTCGTCCCAATTTCTCTTATATTGTTATGGCTGTGTACATATCTTTTTATATCTTTCCAAATACGGACCTAATTTGCATGAGTAATCTGAAAATTCTATGACTCCTTAGCGGTAAATGATTTCATACTTGGGACATGTGTAAGTTAATCAAAAATTAACATCACGATGCGTTTATTATGTTAATTTAGAGGTCATCTGCATAATTTACATCTACATGTCAAGCCCATATTTCATGGAGGTATGAGATCTCGGAAGTCTTGTTTTTTGGTTTTTTGATTCGAATCGTGAGGTACTAAACTACCTCGAGTTGTAAGCTGTTACCCTGGGGAAAGTCGTTTTTCTATGCAGCCATATGTGAGAAAAATGACCTTTAAAATTTACCTTTATACTGGCCTTAATACCTCCCAGATAGATTGGAAGCAGGATACTAATAAATCAATCAAGTGTATTAAGTAGCGGCATGACACCCCTTTCAACTAGTGTAATAAATTTCCGACCCACGTTCTTGACAGAAGTGACAGCCGGTTTGGCCTGGGCTGTCAGATTTAGGCCATGTTGATTTGATTATATGGATGACATCCTCTGGGAACCCCAAAACTGATGCGCGCGTGCGAATAAAAAAAAAGTTTTGCAAAAAAAAAAAGTTGCTTTCATTATGAAATCTACGTCGGTCATGAAGGTTGAACAAAGAGCACAAGAGTATCGTTTGGCGAATAATCTACTCTTCAAATTCATTTCTTTACATTTTCGTCTTTTTTGTTTGATTTTGGCATTCTACGACATTGGCATCGTTTTCAAATATTTTTTTTGCAACTTACGGTTTAAATTTGCTCATTTTGCAACTGTTTTGTATGATTTACAGTATGGTTGAAAACTTTTTTTTTTTGGAAACGGCCGAAAATTCATGCGCGCGCGGATGTCATCTATATAATCAAATCAACATGGCCTTACTTCGAACACGGGAAAAAAAACTCCGGTCCGAGACCTTCAATGGACTATTTAATCAGGGCTCATGAATACAAGGTAACTTTGGCGTGGTACTTCCCATTTCAACAGGTAGGTAGGTGTTTTTCTCGACCTTATACAATCAAACGTCAGCATTATTGCCATCTAATCATCATTGCAGCAGTCTTCAATAACTCTGTGACTAACATTACAGCTTGTAAATGCGTAAGGAGGATTCATTTACTCCTCTACCCAGGTCTCGGCTCCTTGCTCTAATTAATTCCGTGACACCTGCCGCATGGTCATATGTAAAGTCCCATTTGTAGTAAGGTAGTACAACCCAACTAGACTGTTGAACATCACTATAGGAATTGGTTGTTCCCTTTCTGATAAAGGTATTTATTCAGTGACACGTCTTTAACTTTCAGATAAAGCTACACTCTAGCGAAAAAGGACAACGGATTACAAGTACTACAAGTAACTTCCGTGTGACTCAATACGCGGAGTGATACAAACTAGACTTACGTAAGTCATTCGGTTT